GGACAAAGACAGTGGGTGAGGGGAAATGGGGGTTTCCTACACCAGAGATTTGCCTCCTGCAGCTATTGGACATAGTCATGATAGGGATTCCAGCTACACTATGACTTGTGGTGATGGGGACTCCTTCTGCATTGTGACTTGTGACAGGAACTCCAGCTACACTGTGACTTGTTTAAGAATGAGGACTCTGTCTTTAAGAAGAAATCCTTCTCATGGTCACACCGGCCATGTTTGCTGCACACTCGGCTAGCTGACAGTCTCTCAGGTCCCTGTATAAACAAAGTAAAATGCAGGGTATGGAAAGCAATTCAGAGTACACCAAGTCCCCAGGCCCCAGGCCCCTGCCACTGTAAAGGCTCCTGAGAGGAGGGTGCTGAGACTGGGTAGAGGCAATCCTGGAAGTCTTCCTGAGGGCGGTATCCAGAGAAGGAGCGGAATGCAGAAGTCCAGACCCAGAAAGTGGAGGCTCTGAGGAGCTGGAAGAACAATGCCAAGAGCCTTAATTACCTTTTGCAGAAGCTGCCCCACCCCACCCAAAACCGTCTACATCTGTCTCCTTGAGAAGGACTACCATGGGGAGGCAGGGCAAGAGGGTTTGCTATGGAAGGGGCTCGGCAAAGCAGAGGTTCCCCTGAGTCTCTGTCCTTGGCTGGGATCCCCATCAGTCTGAGCAGCTGGAATGGAATGTCCCTGGAATGAAGAGCCTGCCCCTCTCCCCAGGGCTGTCCCAGAGATTCCCAATATGGTGGTGCTCTAGAGCCTCAGTTCTCAACCCTCCTAATGCTGCCACCCTCATGCTGTGGTGACCCCTGACCACAGAATTAGTTTCTTTGCTACTCTATGGCTGTAATTTTACCACTGCTATGAACCGTATCTGTGTTTTCCAATAGTCTTAGGCAATTCCTATGGGAGTCTCGACCCGTAGATTGAGAACCCCTGCTCTAGAACCACCAAGGTTTGCATTGTTCCCCCAATAGAATGTTATCTTTGGTGGTCTGTCCTGGGCAGAGGGGTTCCACCATTCACAGATCCCCACTATGAGGCACTTAGTAGAACTTTTTACAACCAGAAGTTAGCTCTTTAGTGTTCAAATAGCTCAAAATAATTGATTCAAGAGTTGGGGAGAGGGGCTGAAGAGATGGCTCAGTGGTTAAGAGCACTGGCTGCTCTTCCAGAGTTCAATTCCCAGTAACCATATTGTGGCTCACAACCCTCTGTAATGAGATCTGGTGCCCTCTTCTGGCCTGTAGGCATACATGCAGGCAGAACACTGTACACATAATAAATAAGTAAATCTAAAATAAAATAAAAACAGATCTAAAAAAAAAAAAAAGAAAAAAGAAAAAAGAAAAGATTTAAAGCCCAGTGGTGGCACACATCTTTAATCCCACCACTTGAGGAGGCAGAGGCAGGCGGATCTCTCTGGGTTCGAAGCCAGCTTGGTCTATAGAGCAAGTTCCAGGGCAGCCACGGCTACACAGAGAAACCCTGTCTCAAAAAAAAAAAAAAAAAAGATTTAAAAAGAGAAAATCGCACAGTTCAATTCACCCCAAGACCAAACTTCGGGACTTCGGGTCTGTTCTGTTCTACTTTGGGCCCTTCTGCCTGCCATAGTACATGCCATCCTAGTCTCCTGCTGCCTGGGCTCTTTGTTCCTTGGCTCCAAACAGCCCTGCCTAGGTCTTCAGGGAGGGGAGACAGCCGGAAGCAAGCCTCAGCCATGCATACAGCCCTGAACATCTTTGGCCCACCCTTGCCATAAGCCAGGTATGTTGAGTCAGCTTGACTCACCCCCCAGAACCCAGACAACCTGGCAAAGGGTGTGTCCAGTCCCGAGTGGCAGGGGTAAGACACACTTCTCACCTCCAGAATCTCATGCCTCCCTCCCCAGGACTGGGCCCACTAAGAATGAGAACTCAGAACTCCCCCAAAATGGTGTGTCATTAGCCCACTGAACTTATAGGTTCTACACC